TCTCAGCATATTCCTTCGGTGAAAGAAGTGGCATAATGTATTATTCAATTAATTTAAATGTCTTTTCCAATGGGTGCATTATCCATATATTCTGCTTCTCTAACATTCTACCCATCCGTGCACATATTCTAACATAGTGACAATAGAAATAAAAGAAAATTAGTCAATTTTGCTGTCAAAAGCTCTAATTAATAGGGCAGTGCCAAGAATACTGATTAAAATTATATATTTAGAGATAGTACCCATTGACTAAATTACATCTCTCCTAAATTGATTTAACATCAGTCTTAGCATTAACTGGAAACACATGGAGATACATTGTAAATTACCACAGCTATCTCTGCATTTGTACACTTGCCAATAGGAAAACTATTATCTGCCACCTTTTTAAAAAGCCATCTCTTGACTCCACATCCCTCTGCTGTACTTTCTCCTTCACTTTACAGCAAAAGTTCCACCTCCAATAACTCTTCCATGCTCTCTAACCCCAAACAACCCACTTGAAATTGCTCATCAAGGTTACCAATGTTATCGTTAAATCCAATGGTCAGTTTTCACTCCTCATCTTACTTAACATAATAGCATAATTTCCACCTTAAAAAACTTTCTTCACTTGGCTACTAAGACCAATACCCTCCTGGTTTTCCTGTCATCTTACTGGCCTCTCCTTCTCAGTTTGCTTTTCTGGTTCCTCTTAATCTCTGCAGTCTCAGTCCTTGGTCCTTATTTCTTCTCTTTTCACACACATTCTCTTGATAATCTCCATCCAGGTTTATAGCTTTAAATATCATCCACATGAGGACAACACCCCAGTTTATATCTCCAGCCTATACCCCTCTCCTAAATTCTTGACTCATATATCCAACTGTCTATTTGACGTGGATGTCTAGAAGAGATCTCAAATTCGACATGTCTAAAACCAAACTGCTCCTCCCAGTCTTTTCCCATCTCAATAAATGGCATTTCCATCCTTCTAATTACTGAGGCTAAAACCCTGAGTCCTGTTTGATGTCTCTCTTTCTGCTTACATCCAATTGATTAGTAAATTCTATCAGCTCTACAATCAAAATATATCTTGAATCTGACCATTTCTCATCCACCACCCCCACTCTGATCTAAATCAATCCTCTTGCCTGGATTATTGCACCAGCTTTCTAAGCGGTCTCCCTGCTTTTGCTCTTATGTCCTACAGTCTACTCGACAGAGCAGCCAGAGTGCTTCTTTCCAAACATAATTCAGATCATATCATTCCTCTAACTCTCCACACAAAACTCTCCATAAAGGTAAAGTTTTTTTAGAGTAGAATGTCAACTAATTAATGTAGAAGAAATAATCGAGTTAGAAAATCACCATTTTGCAAATATCATAGTAACATTTGACTTGAGCAAGAGTTAAAACTATTGAGTCAAATATTGGTAAGAAATAGGATATTTATGCAGTCTGAAAGTGTCTCCCCCACATATTACTTATTAACTGCAAAGGGGAAAATGGTAACTTTACGACAGAGAAACCCAGGACACAACTTTAATCAAGAGATCAAGTCAATATCACCAATGGCATAAACCTCTATCACATCCTTTCTGACATGATAGATTGAGAAGGACACATCACTCATGTAGTATTGAGAGGGAATACTTCCTAACTCATTCTATGAAGCCAGCATTATCCTACTACCTAAACCAAAGACGTGACAAGAAAAGAAAATTATAGACCAATATCTCTCATGAACACAGACACAAAATCCTCAACAAAATAGTAAAAAGTCCAATCCAACAACGTATACAAAAATTTTTACACCACAACCAAGTGGGATTTATCCCAGGTAAGCAAAGCTGATTCAACATTCGAAAATTAACATAACCCACCACATCAACAGGTTAAATAAGAAAAATCACATGATCATATTAATAGATATAGAAAAAGCATTTAACAAAATCCAAGACCTCTTCATTACAAAAATGCTCAGTAATCTAGGAATAGAAGAAACTTCTCCAACTTGACAAAGAAGATCTACAAAAAACCTACAGCTAACATCATATTTAATGAAGAAACTATAGGCTTTCCCACTAAGATCCAGAACAAGGTAAGGATGTCCCCTCTCATCACTCCTTTTCAAACTTTATACTTAAAGTAGCTAATGCAATAAAATATGAAAAGGAAATTAAAGGTATACAGATTAGGAAGGGAAAAATAAAACCTTGTTCACAAATGACATGATTATCTATATAGAAAATCCAAAAAGAACTATCCAAAAAAACTCCTAGTATAAGTGACTATAGCAAGGTGGCAGAACACAAGATTAATACATAAAGGTCAATCACATGAGATAACACCACACAACTATTAGAGTAGCCAAAATCTAAAACTAACAATACCAAATGCTGGCAAGGATGTGGAGCAATAGGAACTCTCATTCATTGCTGGTGGGAACACAAAATGCTACAGCCACTCTGGAGACAGTTTAGCAGTATCTTATAAAATTAAACATATCGTTATCATATGATCCAGCAGTTATACTCCTTGGTATTTACCCAAATGAATTTGAAACTATGTCCACACAAAAACCTACCCAAAAATGTTTACAGCAGCCTTACTCATAATTGCTAAAACTTGGTAGCAACCAAGTTGTTTCAGTAAGTAAATATACAAACTATGTCATACCCTGACAATGGAATACTATTCCACGCTAAAAAGAAATTAGCTATTAAGTCACGAGAAGACATAGAGAAAAGTTAAATGCATATGACTAAAGTGAAAGAAGCCAATCTGAAAAGTCTACATATTGTATGATTGCAACTATATGATATTCTGAAAAATGCAAAACTATGGAGACAACAAAAAAATCAGCAATTACCATGAATTTGGGAAAGAAAGGGGTGAATAGAAGGAGCATAGCACAGCAGAATTTCAGGGCAGAGAAACTATTCTGTATAATACTGTAATGGTGTATGCATGTCATTATACATTTGCCCAAACCCATAGAATGTACAATACCAAGAGTGAACCCTAAAGTTAACTATGGACTTCGGATGATAATGATGTGTTAATATATGTTCATTGATTGCAATAAATTTAACACTCTGGTGCATTTGTGCATGTGTGGGGACAGAGGCTATGAGGAAACTTTCTGTTCAAGTTCACAGTGAACCTAAAACTGCTAAAAAAATAA